ATGATTGATTTCGTTTATTTTATTTTTTTGTAGTGTATGGAAGAATTTAATGTAAAAAATTTGCTTTTTTCATCATCAGCTACTGTTTATGGTTCACCAAAATATTTACCAGTTGATGAAAAACATCCATGTATTGGAGATGCTATTACAAATCCATATGGAAAAACTAAATATGTTTGTGAACATATTCTTAAAGATACAACAATTGCTCATCCTGTTCGTATTGAAAATATTTTGAGAAGAATTTTTTATATAGTTTATTATATTCAAGGATTGGAATATAATTATTTTACGTTATTTTAATCCTGTTGGTGCTCATGAATCAGGTTTAATCAAATATTTAAAAATAAAACTATTACTTAATTTTAAATATTTTCTTTTTAGGTTTAATTGGTGAAGATCCTATTGGTAGACCAAATAATCTCATGCCATATGTTGCTCAAGTAGCTGTTGGTCGATTACCACATGTGAATGTTACAGGTACTGATTATGATACACCAGATGGAACAGGTAATTATGAATTTTTTTTTGTTTTTCTTAAATCATGAACGATGATTGAATTTATGTTAGGTGTACGTGATTATATTCATGTCGTCGATTTAGCTACTGGTCATATTGCATGTATGAAAAAATTTAAAGAAAATTGTGGTCTTCAAGTATGTATATAAAATTTCTATGGATATTATTTATTTATATTTCATGTTTAGATCTATAATCTTGGTACAGGTAAAGGTTATTCTGTATTAGATATGATTAAAGCATTAGAAAAAGCATCGGGTAAAACAATTGCTTATAAAGAATGTTCTCGACGACCAGGTGATCTTGCATCTGTTTATGCTGATCCTACTGTAGCTGAAAAAGAACTCGGATGGAAAGCTCAACGAGGTTTAGATGATATGTGTAAGTAAAAAATTTTATTAGATTTGATTATCAATTATAGATAAATATAGGTCGAGATTTATGGCGATGGCAATCAAATAATCCAAATGGATTTCAATAGAATCTCATTGATCTTGATTTTAAACCGATTGACGATATTAGTTTTTATTTGGGTGACTATTCAATTATCTTATGCTTTTCATTATTTTATTTATTGATATTGGTAATATGTAAAAATCGGTTTAATGGTTTCATTGTTTTTTATTGAAAATTTAAGTATTATCACAACGTGTTATTATTTGTTTTTGGCTATACGTGTATGGCTATAACAGATAAAAATAAAATCAGTATTAAGAAAAAAATGAAAATGGAATGAATGAGGGTTAACTGAGAGATACAGATTCGAAACTCTTATCCAAGCTAATGAAAGACAACTATTAATTACTTATGCTTCATCATAATTCGATGGAATACTACAAAATAATTCTTATGATTCGATAAACTATATCATGAGACATTGTATCAAAATACTGATTTTTTATAATCTATCAAATTCGATGTCAAATAATAGGGTGTAGGTGTGGATGAGTGTACTTCTTCTCTAAACTCTCATCATTTTATATCGTGTTTTACAGTATCCTTAAACTAGTGAGATATATATATGAGCGTGGATGTGAGTGTTGGTCAGAGTATGAGATCTGGATATGAGTCTTCTCTTCCATTACACTGGCACCCATTCAAAAAGTAAGTATGCTTTATGGTTTACATCACAAAGACGAAATATTAGGCTGCGATATTTTCTGCAACATCTAACAGAAACTATGCAATCAAAGTATGGATTATGTATCGTATTTGTGATTTTCAGTTCATTCGAATAAATACTTAGTGAAACCATCTGATAATATCCTTAAACAAGGTAGAAACGTGTCATGGTTTGCTTGATATACCCACATCGACAACTATCCTCACTGCTTGAAAGTATTCCTTTTTGTGATTGATTGCTTTTGAAGGCTTTCGAATGTACGATTTTTTCAGACAAATCCCAACTGTTTTGAAAAAAAAAGCGATCTGAACCATTGATTTGTGTTCTTTGCATTAATACTTGGATATGCTTTTCTTTCAATCACAGTATATTTCCTCCAGTGGCTAACATGAATTCGTCACTCATAAATCATTCAGTAGAATTCAAAACTAGACTGCTTAGGGACGATTCATAGCTATCGTTGATGTATGAAAAAACTAGAGTGTGAGAGTGGGTGTGAAGTTGGATGACAGGGTACAGAAGGCAGTAATCCACAGCCATGTCTAACACAAAGAAGAAGGACAAGAAAAATGCATGATGGTTCAAGATCTATTCTTTCTCTTCTCAATCGTTCATCGATCACGATTCTTTTCCCTTTCTTCTCTGCAACCGACGGAATTATTCTTATTTGTTGTTGTCATTTCATCGGTGCTTTTTTTCTCGAACGAACTAATAAGATTTTTATCATATCGAATTACTCTGTGTTTATCAGAGCACAATCGAAGAATCGTTGTGTATCATGAGTCTCAATCGAAATGAAGGAAAAACTCATTTCGATAAATTTATGGCATTGACTAACATCAAAATTACAGAATTGCAGTATTTAGAAAGACTAATGAAAGTGAATTTCATTTATAAAATTCAAACGAATAACTGAACTCAATCTAGGTAACGTATTGTCAAAGCTCTATTCAAAAGCGATTAAAAATCATTTAGTTTTAGCCCTTTGAAATGATTTACGTACTATTGTAAAATCGACATTATCAAGTGCAACAAATACAATGGTTTCTATCTCTATCACACTCATTCTCATCGTGTTTTCGCCTTCTTTTCGTTGATTACATACGTGAAGTTTGAAATGCCATCTTATGTTATTTATATGAGATCATATAACTTTCATCTTCTTCACTATCGATCATTTTGTGAATGATGACGAAAATCATGCTTTTCGTAGTCTTTGCGATTATTTCTTGTTCGTATTCAACACCTGAACAGTTGTCCAATGTATCTAGTGTTCATACGCAATATATTTCAGGTATATTGTGGTGTTTGGAAATATCGCTTCAGTTTTTCTTTAGGAAGAAAAGAAATACAGAAAATTATTCTACTCCTGCTTCCAAGTGGTCACTCTAAAAATAAGTAGTTCTTATGGTTTCTTTGTTTTGTAAGTTATTGAAAATGCGAAATTAACATAGAATTTTTAAAAATCGTTGTGTATGTGATTGGACAGAATCTGATGAGTTGGTCGAGAATATTCGAGATGTAACTTTTTCTAATGAGCTTTTAGTGAAATTTTAATTTTTCTTTTCGTATGATTAAGTTTCAATAATTAAGGCATGTTCAAGTGTTTCTGTTGGTTCCGATTTCAACATCGTTTTTTTTCAGATTTAGCATGCAAAACGGAATATGTGACGCTCATTTGTAGATGAATTTATTGGATCCAGTTTTTTATGCTGAATACACCAAAAATGGTTTTGATATTTGAACAAAATGAAAACCTCGAAAATTTGTTCATTATCGAAAGTTGATCCTTCTTCAGAACAAGCAGACCATCTGAGAAAATTTAAAAAATTCCTAAAAGCTCGTTGTGATAAAGTAAAACCCATATATTCTTCATCATCAGATTAAACTCTGATCTAACCATTTCGCATCTCGGTCATCATTTTTGTGTTCCTCTTCTGTTTCTGTCCATTAGATTTTTGCAAATGCTTTTTTTTCTTAGTCACTGATTGTTATCCTTCTATTTCTTTGATGTAATCCTTCTTTGACATTAGCTTGCACACTGTTCCTCTCAGTAGGTAACGTTACAAAACATCATGCCTCAACTGATATTAAAACGTCTCGAACAATGTCAATCACTTCTTGGAGTAGTCTATGAAGAGGAGAATGTATGAAAATTCTTCTAGTAGGATGATCGACTATAAGTTGTTAGTCTACTTCTCTGTTTGATCATGTTCAATTCATTTGCACTTCTTCGATCTGTGCTCATTAGAAGCATTGTACTTATGATTGTTTTATACAAGGTCTGGCATAGGTTGTCGTATTAGGAAAGACAAATGTGTAACCAGATACAGATCACCCACTGTTTGATGTCATTACTATGGAGTTCAGAGTTTCATTGCAATTTTCTTAGTGAATTTAGGCAATACATCAACTGCTCCATTCGGCGAAATTCTTGGAATAGCATCAACAAATGTTCCAGCGTATTCGAACGAAAATGATAGCTATATTTCAAATGAATATTATTATCTCTATAGTGTATTCATGGGGATGAAATGGCAATGTGTTGAATACGCTCGTCGATGGCTTTTTATGCGCAAAGGCTGCGTTTTTGAAAGTATCGAGGGCGCTGCTGATATGTGGAGTGAAGTGACTTACGTGCAACGAGTTGTTGACGGTCAATGTTTTCCATTGAAAATACACCCAAATGGCTCTCCGTATCCACCAAAAAATGAAACTCTGCTTATCTACAGTCGTAGTAGTCCGGATATGCCATACGGTCATGTTGCCGTCATAGTTGATGTCGGACTCAGTTTTGTCCGTGTTGCTGAGGAAAATTTCAACTTTTATTATTGGTCAGATAATTATGCACGACAAATTCCATTCGCCATCAAAAACGGTAGCTACCTCATTGAAGATGAGTATCACATTTACGGATGGATGTCGATTGAAGATCATAATCAACTCAAGCCATTGGATCAATCAACCATAAATATAATCGTTCAGCGAAATAAATCTTCACCTGTCTTTTTTTGTTCTAATAATATTGCGCGTCACTATGCTGCATTTCGTCATTATTTATATTTTCTTCTTTGCTACGCGTTTTTACAATTAGCTTTTCTGTAGCATTATTGTCAATTTTCAAAAATCACCGACCAGTTAATACATATGGCATCTGATCTGATTATAGTTCTCTCTAGCTGTCAAGGATTATTCGATCTGTGTGGGTATGGATGTGGATGGTGTGTGAGCTGTGGAGTTTGAGGGTACATGGCTACGCGTGTGCGTGTGGATGTAAAAGAGTGAAATCAAACCTACACCCACACCAACACCTCTTCTAACACTTTCATCTGTTCTAGTAAAAATCTCGGTCAATCATCTATGACTTTTTTTTCATCAAATAAAGTGGAATTTGATACGAGATTTTAATTCTTATTGTATCATAAGTCAATCGTTCTCCGTTTTCATTTTCACCTTTTGTAGTTGCATAACATTGTAGAACTTTTTGACCAAATGAATTCAACATTTTTCGAAAGGCTTCTTCACCATTCTGCTGTCGATAGGCCTGCACGGCAGAAAATGTTTCGAATAGGCCAAGAAAATAGGCCAAAGTCGTCGAATGTATCTGTTCGATGATATACTGTCGGCGTGTCAATGGATAGGGTAGAAGTGGCAAGAGAGACTGATAAGAATCGTCGGATAACCATCGTTTAGCATTTGAGTAGGAGAAAAGTTCAATCTGTTCAATTTCATGATAGATTGCATCAGCCGCTGCATTGCCAAGTGTCATCATGGCAGCATAAGTCCAAACGGCAAGAACACCAGTATATGGTTTGAGTATACGTTGAACCTCCCTAACAAATTTTTCAATATCAAGCCAATGTAGTCCTACGGCAATAGTGACCAGGTCGACGGAGTTATCTTCGAGAAAGGTCAATTCTTCTGCTTTCGCACACCGATATTCCACATTATCTTTCGGTGTTGCATATGCTAATTGATTGACACTAACATCGATACTAATCACTCGATTACAGAATCTGAACAAGATATCATTACCTCTCTGTGAATCATTCGAAACTTACTTGCTAAGGTCAACAGTTGCTTGACCACTGCCACAAGCAACATCAAGTGCCAATGGAATTTTTTCATTCGTTTGTTTTCCATCGAAATAATATTCCAGAATACGATCGTACAACTCCTCTGAGTACGTCGGTCGATATAGATGATATTTATTTGCATGTTCTTGCTCGCTAAATAATTGATGGGTCATGTCTTTCTCTTCTTACTTTCACTAAGTGAATGATATCAGTTTTTTTTTGTCTTCCATTATCTCATGGCTGCTTTTCGTTTCTTATCATTTATGCACACACGCACACAAAGTCAGCTGACAGAACAGAAAAAGCATAGCGAATTAAGCCAATCTACATCAAATGCACTATGTCGAACGCCATCTAATTAAATTCAAAGGGTCAGATCCGAAATTTATTCTATTCAATAGAGAAAGATTTTCTATATCGAATGATGCTTCAAGGTTTTTAAGGAAAAAATGTAGATACAGAGAAACTATCAAAATATTCTGACCAATCCAATCGCAAAGAATCAATAATGAAAACAGCACTGCGTTGACGATACGAAATGGCAGCTTTAATGGTGCCTTGATCGTTTCTTCGACCTCTTTTTTCATCAGATTAAAGATATCTTTGAGTTTTACGATCATTCTAATCATGTCATTTATTGGTTATATGAATTCTATCATATTTAAAACAAAAGACAATAAGTATAAAAATATATAAGCCGGAATAAATTAACAGAATAAGACAGAAAAAAATCTACTCTTCAATTTCATTTTGCTTTGTTTTAGTTCCACATGTTCTTCCAAAGCCGGGTGGGTGAGTGGAAGAGAATCTTCTTCTAATTGTCACCCATCCATCGACTTCACCCTCAGGAACAATTATCTTTTTTCTTTTTCTTCACAATTCAATATTTAATAACAAAAACCTCAGAACATATATTTAGGAAATAATCATTTTTTAACAATGTAGAAGTCACTCAGATGTTAAAAGGAAAAGAGTAAATCTAGACTAGATTTTAAATTGTTTTTCATGCTGCTCGATAATGAAAATAATGACAGAAGCCATATTCTATCGTTTTTTTAATTCTCAGTGTGCAACTAATCGCACATGATCATTTATGGAGAATCAGAAAAATCTCTAGACAAACGTTATATATACCGGGTGGGCCAAAAGTAAGTAAACAACAAACAAAATGATTGAATATCTCCATTATGGCTCGACCAAACGGGCTCATTTTTTTACCAAGAATAGAGGCATGTTCATATTCCAAATCCATATGGACAAGGTTAGTGAGAATCTTTGTTAAGTATAACTATTCACCTCAACAAGAAAATGTTTCTTTTTCACAAGTAGGAAAAAAAAACAATATACAGGATAGTGCAAAAGTCACATTATCGAAAAGAAAATTGAATATCTCCATTGTCGTCTCGACCAAACGAGCTCATTTTTTTATCAAGAATAGAGATATGTTCACGCTCCAAATCCATACGGATAAGACTAGTGAGAACCTTTGTTAAGTATATGTTTTTCTTTTCCTATCTGTGAAAAGGTAAAATTTTCTTGTTGAGGTGAATAGTTATACTTAACAAAGACTCTCACTAACATTGTCCGTATGGATTTGGAATGTGAACATGCCTCTATTCTTGGTAAAAAAATGAGCCCGTTTGGTCGAGCCATAATGGAGATATTCAATCATTTTATTTGTTGTTTACTTACTTTTGGCCCACCCGGTACTTGTAAAAAGAAGTATTTCATTGATAATCGAATACAATCAATGTAAACGACTATCATAGACAAGTTGTATGTCTTTGTAATATTCTTCTCACAGCAGGTTCAATAATAAATAGGGTGTGGGTGTGGGGTGTGGGGGTGGGTGTGGGGTGGAGGTGTGGGTGTGGGTGGGTGTGGATGTGGGTGTGGCTGTGTGTAGGTGTGGGTGTGAGGGTGTGGATGTGGTGTGGGTTTTGGTGTGGGTGTGGGTATGGGTATGGGTGTTGGTGTGGGTAGGTATGGGTGTGGGTGGGTGTGAGAGGGGTGTGGGAGTGGGTGGGTGCAGATAGGTGTGGGATGAATTCAGAACACCAACCACACCCCACACCCACACACCCACACCCCACACCCACACACCCACACCACCCACCCACACCCCACACCGACACCCACACCCACACCACCCACCCACATCCACACACCCACACCCCCAAGCAATAATTCTCGGAGTCTTGAGTACTAGGCACTTCTTCAAGAAGTCTGCGGGAAGTAACACATTGAGCCATAGCCTATTGTTCACTAGACCGATTCTGGATATGGCACCACGTGTAGGTGACCCAAAGTGCGTGTAAATAATATTTATGCTAAATGAATCTTTTTCAATAGTTCCATGCTAAGAAAATACTAAATATATTTAATTTTTTTATATGTAATTATATACAGAAATAAATTATTAGCCCATATTAATCTAGCAAAACAGCAGCCATACTCGTACTCCAATCTTGCTTTTTTAATGTCTCTTCAAGTGTATATCAGAAAAGTGTGATCTTTTTACCACTTATAGTATACATATAATACTATCAATTTATTATTATTGGAGCTCTATGGCTTATTGAAAACAAGAGTTGTGAAGTGTCTCTTTATAATCATATTATTAAAATTGCTTCGTATGTGATGTTTTCACTTACATCAGTTTTACTAAAAATTTAAAACAACATGAAGTTTCAGCAGCAAAGTTTTATTAGAGAGTATAGATAATATCTAATGTTGTACGCTTACGAATTTTATATTATTGTAGGTCGTATTTACAAAGAAATTGTTGATGAATTTCGTAAAATTACTAATACCGTACTCGTTGCGATTTACCGACACTTGAGCGCGCGACATTTCCGCGCACGGCACTTACGCGCAACACGAAAATTTTTTCGATGTTAATTTAATTATTCTGTGAAATTTTTGAACCACTATTTATCGAAATAATATTTATGAAAAGCAAGAATTATACAAGTAAAGAAAAGGCCTTTGCAATTTCGTTTAATACAACGCCAAACTAATCTATCTCGACGATAACGAAAACCGTCGAGAAGAAGTTGGTCTTTACCATTGATTGATTGAATCATAGACATTTTTTATAGAAGTTATCGACAAGATGTAAATATTAACGAATAATTTATTTATGCTTATGTTTCATCTCCTACATCTTGTTTTTATTTTAATTGTATTGTATTCCTCTTTATTAATTAATCCCATGCTCTCATCGATTTTTTTATTTATACAAATTGATGCAATAATGTGGAAACAGGACACTCTTTTTTATTCACATTGATGAGTTTAACTAATCAAAGAATATAGAGAGGAAAAAATTCATTCTAATGCGCGTAAATGTCGTGCGCGCAAGTGTCGGCGCGCAAATGTCGGCGCGCAAGTGTCGGCGCGCAAGTGTCGGCGCGCAAGTGTCGTGTCACGACTCGTTGCTTCCGCTCAATGTAATCTGAAGTGAACTAAATCTCATATTCGTAAACGAAGAACATCAGACATTAGCTATACTTTCTAACTAAATACTTTCTAATAAAACTTTGCTGTAGATACTTCATGTTGTTTTAAATTTATAGTAAAATTGATGTAAGTGAAAACATCTCATACGAAGAATTTTTAATAATATGATTATAAAGCGACATTTCACAACTCTTGTTTTCAATAAGACATAGAGCTTCAATAATAATAAATCGCTAGTATTATATGTATACTATAAGTAGTAAAAAAGATCACACTTTTCTCATATACACTTGAAGAGGCATTAAAAAAATAAGATTGGGATAGTAGTCCGGCTGGCCACGCCCATATATGAAATAGATGGTATGTAATCGTGAAGAAACGATCCGAGTTAGATGTATATGTTCAATATATTTGGATGAATTAGTCTTATTGTATCGCCATGTACTACGCTGATAGATGCGAATTAAATAGTTAATTAGGTGTAGTTAATATTTTCCTGCGATGAAGTTTAAAAAGCCATAAACTAAAATTGTGAGCTTGTAGCTTTTGCTTATATCCTTGTAGAGAAAAAATTATTAAACTATCGAAACGAATAACAGGCAGTCTGGTGAACATTGATCAAAACTATATCAACAAAATATAATACTCTTCGCAACCAAAACCTCAAATCCGTTTGATCAGACCCTCATTAAAATAAGGATGGGTAAAAAAAAGGGTTGCTGGTATGAGTTTACTTGAGGAGCTGCCTGTAATGCTGGAGTTCAGCTAAATGATAAAGACAGCTCTTTTCAAAAAAATATGTTATAAAATAAAGTAATGAGTTTATTGTTATTTTTTAACATTTTTATTCTGCACATTCGATTTTGCGATCAACGAAATGTATTTAATGAATAAACTTCTTCTACTTGACATAACCTGTTGTTATGACACGGATTGGTTTCTTTTTCAATAGTAGATAACATCTTACATGTATCTTTATATTTTCTTTATTTGTCAAAAATAAAGGATTTATTTATCTTTATTTTATAATATAAAGATTTTATTTATATTTATAAAGTAAAGTAAATATAAATTAACATCCCTAATGGTGTATTATTTGCTTACTTGCAAAGAACGACTTTTAAACTTTGTTTTGTATTTATCATTTAAGATTATACTACTTGTTTAAAGTTACTGGTAACTATTCAGTATGGAAAATTCGCAAGCTGCAAGAGATAAATTGGTACATTATTTTGAATTTCAAGCTGAGCAAAGGCTTAAGAAATCGCAAAAACAAAAAATAAAATCTTTTCAAAAGATTCAACAGTCTATGGTGGATCGGCTCAACAAAACATCTGCAAAAGTGCAGAAGGTTATGAAAAGAAATGGTAAAGGTGAACGATTCATTCGAGTTCTATTGTCTAAAAGCCACAACAAAAAAGATTGGTACAATGAAGCTCGATATGTAAGTATACTTGTGAAATCACTTTCGTTCCAGCCAGAGTTGGAACCGGTCCGGCAATCCTGCTCCGGTCTGGCCGGACCGGACCGGACAAGACCGGACAAGAAGTTAAACCGGGCCGGACAGAACCGGATTTTTGCCAGTTCATCATTACAAAATTATTGCTTGCATCCAAGAATTTTCTCTACTGAAAATGGTTTTTTTATGATATTTTCAAGTCAGAAGAATGTGTTTGCGAAAGACTCAATAGATATCTTGCCTTCGACTTGACTATAAACGATTGATTGTTCTCTTTATATCTCTATCGATTTCTTTCTCGTGTATCGCTTAATTTAACCTTGATCAAATAATTTATTCTCTTGTTCTACTTAGGCAGCTGCCTGAATCAAGAAAAATAAAAATTTACATTTTTATGTTAGATGTGTTATAAACTTGCTTTTTTTTCTTTTTTGAAATTAAGATGAAAAACAGATTTGATCTGAATAGCTAATTTATATCGATGTCGGGCTCGAAAAGTCGACACACCTTGCTATAGAATATGAAGGAAGAGTTTCAGTCCCAATTTTTAGTTTCCAGTTCGGATTAAGGGTGGTGATTTGCTGTTAATTTATTATAATTTTAAATTGGATTTACATAAATATAAATAATTTTGCAAAATTTAAATTTATGTAAATCCAATTTAAATTCGAAATAAATAAAACGTTTTAAAATTTATTTTTTATTTAAATTTCTTAAAATTTATTTTTGGATTTATAAATTTTTCGTAAATGTAAATTGATCACCCCTAGTTGGGATTTCTGCATGTGAATATTCAATTCCCCTTCGCCAATATTTTATGTTAACAGATACTTTTATGGTCGGTTATTTTCGCCGGATTTTTGCCAGTTTGGCTGTGAAATTCGTCCGGCCGGTTGCTGACCGGACCGGACCGGACAGATTTTTTAACCGGCCAGACTGGACCGGACAGAAAAAACCTGTCCGGTTCCAACTCTGGTTCCAGCTTTGAAATTTCTGTAAGAAATTGACTAAATAGAGTATTTCTTTGTTTATCATCAAAGGAATGGCAACCAGACACACGTAAGCGTGGTCCTCTCGAAAAAATTGAGAAGTGCTCGTGTGGGAGGGCTCCCTTGAAGTACATAACTTACCTGTTGAATTCAATTACCAAGGAGTGTGCAACTGCTGGTAGTTGCTGTCTGGAAACATTTGGTGATGCACTACGATACAGACATTAAATTGAACTGTCTTTGTAACTGTGTAAATATGTTCCCTTTTCTGAAAGAAAGGATGTTACATGAATGTTTTTAGATTTGTTCAATGTGTGTGAATACATCACATATGTATTTTTCTTTTTTAAATATATTTAGTATTTTGCTATTGTTTTCTACATGTATATATAAAATATATATGAACTTTTCCTTTTCTGTCATATATATATATATTAGTGATTTTCCTTATAGTTGCCATCTTATATATATATATATATATGTACACACTTTCAGTTCTATGTTATCTTTGTTGATCTTCTTCTTTTGTCCTCTCTACTTCTGCTATCTATTCTTGTTATGTTGTTCTTCATTTCCTGTACTTTTGGTTAGTATTATTGAATAAACGGAACTCACGTTCACCAAACTTACAATTAAAAATGTATGCATATTTGTTTGTCTGTTCCAGTCAATCAGAAAACCGCCTTTTTTATTTCAAGGCTTTTGGTGCTTTTGATAGAAGTTTGCTCTAAGTTATTGAAGTCATATAGTTGAATTTAAAGTTGGTTTCTCAAACTTTTTTTTTCAATTGTTTTAGACTGCGATTGAAGGTGCTCTGACTCTTGTACCTGAACATGTGATGCATCCAGAGGAGCTTTTTTTTCGTTAGTCTTATCGGAAACGTTTCTTCGGTCGTTGTATCAGATAGAAAAGTTAACCGTGCACTTTTTTTGAAGATGCATTGAAATGTATTACTTATTGTTTCTTGAATTAGAATATAAAAGCAGTGGTTTATGTAAAAAGTAGCTATCTATACTGTCAACTCTGTGTAAATGTGGGCGGATGTGAGTGTGGCAATTCTCTTCCATAAGTCCCATGCTCACACCCTTATCAATTGCAGGTGTGTCACTATTTGATACGAGTAAATGATGATGATTGCTTATAATACACTTGTGAAGTTCATTGTCTAGTTCGACAAGATACAGACTGGAAACTAGCATTAATGAACATAAACATTCATTCAACGAATTTTATTATGAATTCATATGAAAATATTCTCTCAACACTAAAGATCGGTTGCTCATCTTTCTGTGTTGGTCAACCTAATTTTGGTTCGTTGAGCTGTCCAAAACAAATTGTTGAAATGAGACAAACGCAAAAACCGACTCCAGTTTTGGTAAAAATGTTCCATACGCAACGTGTATCACATATCTGGAAAAATTTCATTTAATTGACACTCGATTTTGTTTTGTAGATATTTACCATCATTAATTTAGATTTGATGATATTCTGAGAAAGAGCGAAAAGCAATGATATTTGTGTGTCTTGTCTGCAATTACATCCTCCTATCGATTGCATCGAGACTGTCTCAAAGTCGAACGCAATATACTACTTGATGCATAGCCCTGTCGCACAAATGATTCCATCGGCAAACAAAAAAATTGTCAAATGTCCTTCTCCAATAGCAACTCGATTCAACCGATGGAAGTTTACTTTGTGCAGAATATGAGTACCAGTGAAGAGAAGACTAATGTCAAAATCTACACCCACACCCTAATTTATATATAATATCGTCATTGTCACACTGTTGAAAATATAAGTGAATTAACATTTCTTAGTTACGTTTTAGTACATCATACATCATTAGTATATGTTGACCAACATTGGCTTTGAGAAAGTAATAAGGAAAAAAAAGCAAATATTACATCTGATGACTCACATTAATCACCACTCGTTCTTATCACTTTCATTGATTAAGAAAAATGATTGTTGAAATAGAAGACAAAATACTATGTATCTGTTGCATGCGAGTTTGGAATTTAGTTGAGATTCGAATAACGTTTTTCTTATTTTCTCATACAAAATATCATTCAGGTGTAGATTTAAAAACATTGCTAGTACAGTGAAGGGCGTGGGTGTGGGTGGTTGTGGGTGTGTGGGTGTGAGTGTCGGTATGAACATACTAATAAAGGGAACACTCGCATTCACACCCACACCCACCCACACCCACACTCTATGATTACATTTGAATAGAATATCGAAAATAAAATAGTCATCCCATGTTTAATACATTTTTTTTGAAAACACTTTTATTAAATATTAGATTATATTTAAAATGAATTTTGTTGATAAAATATTTCATGAAAACTTCTTTATTGTAAACTAATAGAAATAAAACATTATTCTAAATGAGTTCAATCAGACAAAAAATTCCATAGACGTAAATCAAGTATAATTTGGTCAATATCCATAAGGATTTCCACCTTTTCGTATATCACAATTGGCCCAATATTGTTTTTCTTGTAAACGCCATTCAATACCTTGTACAACAGAACCTCCATATGATGTACATGTCGTTTTATGTCCACGTCGTCGAAGTTCATTTAATATATTCTAGAAACACTTCAATTAGTTGATTTACTTGAAATAAACAAAGATTTTACTTGATCAAATGTTTCTTCAAAGATAATTTCATTTGGAGACAAATGATGATGTATTCTTGGATGATCAATAGATTCTTTTATATTTTTATCAAATAGAAGATTAAGTAAAGCAACTTGAGCAACACTTGTTGGAATTTTCATTCCTCCACTTGCTCCTAATACCTGTCGAATATTTCCTTGTTTATCAACAATAATTAATGGAGATTGGGAAGAAACAGGTCGTTTTCCAGGTCCGATGTAATTATTAGGTGATGCACTAAATCCATGATAATTTATTTTATTTGCTATTGAAAAATCATCCATTTCATTATTGTAAATTATTCCTGTTTGAGCACCAACGATCATTGAACCAAAACTATCGTTAAATATTTCAAGAAAATAAATAATAGTCTTTTTTAGAAAACAATCACACATATCCTTTCAATACGAATATAGGGCTTCATTGGTATTTTCTTTTTAATTTTTCGACAAATTTTTAATTGATCATTATTAAAAGGTTAATATTATGTTTTTGAAAGTTCGATATCTTCTCTTTTTTTTTGTCTATTAGGAAAATCAGGTCAACTAACTATGTATTAATAGTCGATGTAATGGCTAGAGCATCACCATGTTCATCAACAATTGATATATGAGCAGTTCCTCCACTCAATGATTGTCTTTTACTTGTATTATATCCATAATATTCTTCTGCAAAAGTCTTTTCATCACTAAAATTTTATGAAGAAAAGATTGTATTTTAGTTACAATAAATATTTTATTTCAACTTACTGAATTTTTTGACGAATACTCTTAGCATATTCTTTCGATATTAAATTAGAAATAAACTACAAACATATATATATATAAAGAATTATTCATCTCATTTAAAATTTCAATTTTTTTTTGTCAATAGAAAGAAAGAAAGAAAGAGAAATTAATCTTTTTTTTCTCTGAATAAAATTCTTACTTGTTTAAGATTTATTTTCAAAGGATCTCCTAATTCTGTTCGTTTAGCAAAAGCAAATTTAAATGCTTCGATTAATCGATGATAAAAAAGTGATACACTTTCACTTGAATTCAACGAATTTCGACTAAAATTGTAATCTTTTTCAAAGAAATATAGTTTTAAATCAAAATCAAAATCAAACAAACCAAGGAGAATATTAAGAATAAATATAAGAATAGGACCACTTGATGGTGCTGAACTTGTATAACCTATTAATTCATCGGTTAAATTTACAAATATTGATTCGGAAAAATCGAGTTTATATTGACGAAGATCATCTCGAGTTAATATTCCACCTTAAATATAATCATATATATGTGAATAATTCGAATTGAGATATGAATACCTTTATTTTGAATTTCATGAATAACTTGATCTCCTAAATCTCCATTATAAAAAATATCAATACCTTCTTCACTAATTCTACGTAATGTTTTAGCCAATTTAATTCTTTTCATCGTATCTCCTTCGTGATAAACTTCATTTGTTAAATTATTTTTAACAAACACTTCTCTAAACAAATAAATGTTATTCTTCAAGATCTTTTCAATATTATATTTACAGATATAATTATCTATATTAATTCGAATTAAATTCATTTATTTATCAAAAGTTATTTTTTTCGAATAGAATATATGTCCTTAGTTCATTATCTATCACATTGACAATTTTAATAGTTAAAATAATAAACGATAATTGGGAGAATTCTTTTATTTCAGTAAAGAATTGTGTATAACAAACCTGAGTTGTGGATCATTGATAATACGTTCTTTATTGATTTGAATAGCATAAGCAAGAGCTTGACTGACTTGAAATCCTTTTTCACATAATCGAATTGTTGGAGTAAATAATGTTGACCAAGGAACACCACCACCAAATTCTTCATATGCTTTACGATATGCAAGTAATTCACCGGGTGTTGCAATCGACAATGGACCTAACAAACAAAGTATTTTCATCAAAATAATAATATTATAATTATACCAATCAAAGACATGTTTTCTTTTCCAATAAACATTGATTTATTGGAAGACAATGGAGCCGATTCACGTTCAACAATACTATATGCTTTTCCACGTTTTCTTTAAATTATATATAAAACAATGAATCTCTCTCTTTCTCGCTCTGACTAATTAATTTAATAATCAAACCTTGAATAAATAATAAAAATACATCCACCTCCAATACCCATTGAATGTGCATTTAAAACTCCATTACAAAGAGAAGCAGCTATTCCAGCATCAGCTGCTTTTCCACCTTTTAATAATATTGTTTTTCCAATACGTGAACATTCTTCATTATCAACAGCAACAGCAGCTCGATTATATTTACCTAATTTTGATGAACCGACTATTTTATAGGATTCATGTGTCGATCCACATTCACCACTTATTGATGATTTTATAATACCTATACAAATCGAATAATTATTTTCTAAATAAATATATTTAAAGAGACAATTTTAATTGACCTTGTTGTCTTTTCAAAAAAAATCCAAGACCAATAATAACACTTGTTAGAATAATAGCAGCGATAATCACTAACAGTAAAATCAATAATTTCTGCCTAAAATCTAAACATCATTCGATAAGAAATATTTTAAAAAGGAAATCTAACATTATTGTCAATTATCGTCAATGATTGTGCATTTTTATACTAAGGTCAAAGAGTAATATGGAAGAGAACGATAAATCATCGATCTAACTATGTGTTACTACCAGTGAGAGTCAGAAGAAAAGAAAAGCAGATAGAATCTTTTTCTTTTCTCTTTTCTCGATTGATGAAGAATTTTATTGGACGATTTTTATTATCTTGACTGAAGACAATCAACAACAATCTTTACTAATTATCTCAATATATATGCATCTTCTTTTAGCCTATGTCAGCTGCTCTTTTCTAGCAGAAGATAGTAACATGTCTAAACAATGATTATATACATTAGAATACAACATACAACATCTTTATCTACTCCTGGCTTATCTGATATTTAATTTTTTCAGAATGCTTTTTGAGTTTTCAAGTTCTTCCGAATTTTTTCTCATTTTAATATTTTCGAAATTCTAGTTTTTTTGAGAGTATTTTTTCATGATTTTTACTAAAAATGCTGCCAGTCACTACCACGTCATTTTTGTTCTCCTTGAATTGTTAGTTTATTTAACATTTTGAGAATGATACCAGTGTAAAAAAAAAGACGCTAGATTCAATCTAAAAGTGTTTCTAAATTAGATTGAATGGCTCATATTCATCTAAAACTAATTTGAGTAAACAATATTCACAAATGAGGATGGGTAGGTATGCCTCTGGATAAGTGACGGCCACAACACCTACACCCTCAAGCTACTTTTTTTTGTTTTGATTATTTTGTTTTCTACGGTTAATAGTATTTCTTCTTGCATACAATTGTCTTTTAAAACGAAGTGACTGTTATGCTTTTCTCTACTGTGGATGAACACTTATACAAATAAATCAAAAATAATCAAGAGGATGGGTATGGGTGGATGTGGGTGTCAGTCTTATTTCTACTCACACCCACACCCTCTTTTGTGAGCAATTCGAAAGTTGAAAAAAGTGACGAATTACATGAATACAATCACATTTTCATTTTGACATAATGAAAGTCACAACAATAAAATTTCTTGATTGCTGTTTGTACTCTTTTCATTCATCCGCTATCATTTTCAGATAGCGTATTAATGCGAATCTATCTGTCTAAGAATTTTTCATTATGTACTAATAGATCGATGGTTACACACTTACCTTTATTTACAATCGTACAGCTGGCAAAAATAACTCTCATGAGATTGTATTTTTTACTCATTCGACTGAGTCATAATGATAACTTATTTTTCGATGGGAACTATTGTACACGACCCTGTATCTTTCAACACAAATCAAGGATGATGAAATCAATTGGAACACCGACTTTGACACGATCTTCACGTCCACAGTCCCTTTGATTTTCTAGCCAGCTTTTGTGTTTTTGTATTACATTTTTTCGATTATAACTAACGGAATAATTCTTTAATTATAATCATGTTCAGAAAATAATCATTGAATAATTTAAACTTGGAGAGTGGTATTTTACATATTACACTTTTCATGAAAATACATACATAGGACACCTTCTCTCGGAACACTGGAATAGTTGAACAATAGTTTAATAACTGAACTCAAATATCAAGTTCTATACTACTACCAAATAAAAGGTGAGAATAACTACCACAGTACAGGTATTTAGATATGGCTTGAATCTCCTATTGGATGTTATCAGTATCGATATACAGGATTGATTAAGTATATATTGAATCAATATTTGATACTATATTTATTATCTACTGGCCTCAGTTCGATTGTACGTGTTCTTAATGATTGACGAACTGTGTAAACTGTTTTAATGATTTATGAATGACTTTCCAACAGTCATAAGCTATTTTTTTCGTCTCTTAAGCCCCCCCCCCTCAGAATTGATTTCCCACTTGGAACCCACCGTTTGGGCTGAAATTTTCAGGGATGATTGATCTTGGTGAGAAACGCTTGTGGTAAAAATTTCAGCCTGATATGCATGACTAGATCGAACTTTCGGCTTGTTTTCCTACCTCTCAGGAGAATCGAAATAACTCCGTCGTTAGAAGGGATACAGAGCTCGGGCTAGTTTCAAATTGGAGCTAGCCTCTGTACGCAACTTTTTATTGGACGGAATTTTGAAACTCCCTTCCATTCATTTTTTACGAGCAATTTTGTGGACATGTTTGCAAAATAAGTATAAAAAAATGTGAATCCACGACAGTAAATCCCACTTTTCTCAGCCCTGGGATCGAACATCAAAAATCAGTTCAATGGAAAGTTAGCTCTGATTAAGACCTTTAAAACAAAAAAAGAAATATCGGTTATATGCCGAGTTGAGTGAGCGTTATTTCAATTTTCCTGTCTAGAAACCGTGTTTTGAGAAAAAGGCTGAAGAAATTTTAGAAATGGATTTTTTCATTCAAATCCAGAATAAATCATATTACAATGGTATATTCCACTGAACCGTTTTAAAGGACGTAATAGATGAAGGTAGCAAACGACATCTGACATGCCAATTAATATAAAAATATTGTATTTAATGATAATGCCAGTGGGAACGCAATTTTTCTAAAACTGAAAACCTTTAAAAAATCACGAAGTTTTCTCCAAAAACATGGTAGTAGATTTAAATTTGCATGTGATAAGTCTTTGAAAATCTGATCATTTTCCAAAAAACTATACATATTCTGACAGAGGAATCTTCGCTGCATCTTTCTGTAATAAAAACTTAACTTCGATATGTCCCTGAAAAACTCAATTTTCTGAGGGGAGCCTTAAATTCTGTTTTGTGTGTCTGTTATGAAACTTTGCTTTTTTTTTTGTTGTTTCCTTTTGCAAACCAACTATAATTCAGTATTACGATAATCTTGATGTGTAAATAAAGAAGGTTTTGTTTTCTCGGTGAAATTCTGGAAGTTTATCTTTAATTTGTAGATGGCATAGTATCAAAAGGTTCTAACATTATCGTCAAAAATATGTGGTTTTCATTTAGTACCAAATGAAATTTTACAACGCATATTTGATACAAAACAAATTGAAGGTGGTTTAATAAATTTATTTATTCAACATACGAAAGGCCATCAATATTCTGATGAACATTTAGATAAATGTAAAGATGATATGCCAGTACAGAAAAAATGTTCATTACTTGCTTCATCAATTAATATCTCTACTACATCACGACATTTAGCTTTTGATACTAGAGAAGGAATTTATTTATTTTGTGATGAATTGTTTTTTGGATGGTTAAAGTAGACAATAATATTTATTCTTTAACAGAAAAGAATGGTACGAATGAATAAATAGGGTGTAGATGTGGGTGGGTGTGGGGTGTGAGTGTGCGGGTGTGGGTGTGAGTGTGGGTGTGGGTGGGTGTGAGTGTGGGTGTACGGGTGTGGGTGTGAGTGTGGGTGAATGTGGGTGTGGGTTACTTTTGATTGAGAGAAGAGCAACCACACCCACAACCCTGCACCCACCACTACCCTACATCCACACCAACAACCACACACACCCACACCCACACACACCCACACTCACACCCCCATCCCACTCACACCCACACCCACACACCCACCCGCACCCACACACCCACACCCACACATCTACACACCCACATACCCACACCCACACATCTACACACCCACATACCCACACCCACACACTCACACTCCACACCCACACCAACACCCACCCTCTACATCCACATCCCACCCCACACTCACCCCACACCCACACCCACGCCCACACCACACACCCACACCCCTCGTTCTCAAGTTCTATTTTGTAAAACGTAAGAGGCTTGATTATCCAATTCTTTTCTTATTAATAAAATTTTCTTTAAATAAGAGTTCCGAAAAAGAACTATTTAATAAAAAAACAGAACAAATTTAAGTGACGTCAAACTTTGAATCGATGAATTGACTTTATCGAAATATGACAAAAAAACCATTATTTTTCCATCAAAAATCATAAAAACATCAAGCTAATCTTTTAACACTCCTGAACTTGAACCAATATTGAAAGTTTGTATTCATTGACCACCAAAGCCGATAGCATGAAGTTTATCTTGTCGATTCAATAATATTATATGAAGAAAATAGAGCTAGCTTAGTTATGAGTTTTGGTTTAAGTCTGAGTTGAGTTGTCTCTTCATTTGCATCGACATTCACACTTACATCCAAAATGCACGTAATCCTACAGCAGCCACTGAGTTTTTTAAAACGGTACAATAAATACGAAGAACAGTTGAAATTAACTAACCATTGTGCCGAACAACTAAAAGAAGAACAGATAGATAATAATGATAATGATGATATATACGATGAAGATTAGATTTCAAAAGAAAGTCATAGAAAAAGTTCTTCTTTTATTTTAATGTTGTTATTTTATATTTTTTATAATATCAAAATAATTAAGAACCAATAAAAAAAGATAGAAAAATAATGGTATCACGATGTAATACAGTGTCTCTATCTGCACGAAAAAAAAACTCATGAAGAAACAAAGAATGGTATGAGATTCAAGGAGCTATCTATGAAATATATATGTCTAAGGTTCCTAATCATATTCTAGATCGAAATAGACATGTCTTTGGATAAAACAAATCCTGTTCGAAGAACACTAGATGGAGATCAGTAACTTGTATAGATCTATTTAGCAGCAACGATACTATCTACCTATGAGAAAAATCGATTGTTCTCTGCGTTAGTTCCCAAAAATAGAGAATGAATTTTAAAAGATTTTCTGAAACATCGATCTTCCGATATCTTTGAAACAGGCTTTTACTTGTAAAGCGATGTGTTTAAATCATGGTTGCACTTTAGCAAAATTTATAGGACTATCTATCTCTTGTCAAATTTTATTCAAAAAATAACTATCAACATTGTAATTTGAAACGGGTAGTATTAGTTAATAATATACTAAAGAACCTAAATATTAATCTATACTATCTGAAAAGAAGAAAAAACAATAACTACACCTGGTTAGTCTGTAAACTGATCAATATTTGTTTATATGAATGTCTTCGAACATCAGAGTGAAAGTATATTTATTAATATCTATAATTAAAACAATTTTTTCATATGCATCTATATTATTTTATTCTTTCTGATTAAATAGTACATATAACAAATTCGTTTTTAATCCAGAAAAAACACAAGTAAATCAATTCTTGTTGATGAAGATCACCAACGTACTTACGATTGGTATACTTATGCGTTTCTTGTTTGGTAAAATGATATCGACACTTACTATGTTATGTCAAGATCGTCATAAGTATATATATTTATTTATTCAATAATTAGTTTCATCTGAATAAAAAAAAGCAAGAACAACATCTCATTGCAATTAAAAAGAAAAGCTTGGTTAGTTAATAGAAATATAAAGAGAAAACGAAAAATTATATGATATGTCAGTGACATTAACACATTTTGATTAGAGTTTCTACATGATCTGTTCCATAACATGCAATAACAATATCCATCCGATTGTCTTGATTTAAATCTTTAATTGCAATCGAATAGGGACGATATCCATAGCCTAGATCATATGAAGTTTTATTTCCGAAAAGTCCATTTCCATATCCATAAAGTAGAAATATATTATTAGTACCATAATTCGCAATAGCAATATCTGTTATATTATTATTATCAAAATCACCTACAGCTACTGTACATGGTCGAGAACGAGCACCAGTTGAATATGTCGCTCCAATTACAAACGTTCCATTACCAGCACCAATCAAAATAGCAATATTATCAGTTTCAGAATTACTAACAACAATATCCAATTGATTGTCATTATTAAAATCAGCTATAGAAACAGAATATGGAGAAGAACCAACTCCGGTTGAATATGTTGTTATACTATTAAAACCTCCATAACTATGTCCAAGTAAAATACCTACATTGTCAGTACCATAATTAGCTACGACAATATCTGACAGACCATCGTTATTCAGATCCTCAATAGCAACTGAATGTGGCTGCGATTCCAAACCCATACTATATGATGTTATGCCAGCATAAAGTTCTGTGCCATATGCGAGAAAGATGCCTATATCGTTTGACTGTGCATTTGCGACGGCGATATCTAACTGAGAGTCATTGTCAAAATCGCCAATAGCTAATGCATATGGTCCAGATCCTACACCAGTTCGATATGCAGTTCCTAGTAAGAAACTTCCATCTCCAAATCCAAAAAGTACAACAATATTGTTAGTTCCAGAATTAGCGACAGCGATATCTAATATGCCATCATTATTAAAATCATGAGCTTCAACAAATTCTGGAGCAGAACCATCTCCAGTGGAGAATGTCATGACAGAAGCAAAATTACCATTTCCATGCCCAAGAAAAATACTGACATCATTCATATTAAAATTACCAGTAGCAATATCAAGTTGATTGTCTCTATTGAAATCTCCAACAGTTATTGAATATGGCCAAGATTGATAACCCGTTGAATAGCTTACTTGAGTTGTAAAATTTCCATTTTGATAACCTAAAAAAATACTGATACTGCTAGTACGATAATTAGCTACGGCGATATCTATTTGACCGTCATTATCAAAATCACCTATAGCAAGCGACTGTGGCTTGGAATTAATTCCAGTCGAATAAGTAATTATGGTATCGAAAATCAAATTGTCATGTCCAAGTAGAATACCTATATTATTAGCAACATAGTTGGCCACGACAATATCTATTTGACCATCATTGTTTATATCGGTTAAGACGATCATAACCGGATTAGAATTATATCCAGTTGAATATCTTCTGCTGGTAGTGAAACTTCCATTACCATATCCAACAAGTATACCTATGTCATTAGTGCCTGAATTAACGACAACAATGTCCAATCGTCCATCATTGTTAAAATCATGAATGGCCAAGGAAACAGGTCGCGAACCATTTCCAGTCGAATAAGTCATCATAACATCAAAATTTCCGTTACCATGTCCAAGAAGAATACCAATGTTATCACTCGAAGAAAAAGTAACTGCAATATCTAGATATTTATCATTATTGAAGTCACTAGTAATGATACCCTGTGGTGTTCGAGTATTATCACTGGAATAAGTCTTATGACTTTGAAATGTTGTATAATCAAATCCAATAAGTATACCTATACTATCTGTACCTGCATTAGCAATGATTAAATCCGCTCGATTGTCATTATTGAGATCACCAATAGCTACTGCCAACGGATATGAATCTTCTCCAGTTGAATATACCTTTGGAATGTCAAAAGTTCCATTACCATAACCCATAATTAAACTAATACTATTACTCTTTGAATTAACAGTAACTATATCTAAATGATTATCTTTATTGATATCATCAGCAATAACATATTGTGGATATGAATCAGCACCAATAGGATATGTTATTTGTCTTTCGAATGTACCATTACCCGTATTGAAAAGTATATCTAAATTATCACTTCCTGAATTGACGATGGCTATGTCTATATAATTATCATCATTGAAATTACCAACAGTGACAGAATAAGGTTGTGGAGCTAAACCAGTTGAATATCTTTTTTCATTTGCAAATTCTGCAGCAGCATATTCAGTTAAAATACCAACATTCCCAATACCCCATAAAGTAACAATGATATTTATTTGATTGCTGTTCTTCAGCTTGGCAGTGGCGATGTCATACGGCTTCGAACCAAAACCAGTAGAATATGTCCTTGCGAGTTGGAAACTGCCATTCCCATATCCATAAAAGATAATTATTTCGTTATTTGCGATATCGGTCACAGCGAAATCATATCGATAATCATTGTTGAAATCAGCAATAGCGATGCGAAAAGTGGACGAAGTAGAACCAGTTGAATATTTTGTGATTTCTTGAAAAGATCCATTTCCATATCCGAGAAAAATACCTACTAAACCTCCATTGAAAGTAGTAACAATAAGATCCAGATGATTATCATTATTCAAATCAAAGAGACTGAGGCCATTTGGAGCAGAAGAACTACCAACAGAGTACGTCGTTGCATTCGAAAAAGTTCCATCACCAAGTCCCAGAAGGATACCCACATTGCCAGACTTGTAATCAGTAGTGGCAATATCCAATTGTTTATCATTATTGACATCGCCAACACCAATTAATACCGGCCGAATAATAATATTAGCAGAGTATGTCGTCGCCTTACCAAAAGTTCCATTAGCATGTCCAAGAAGAACACCTAAGCCACCAGATCCATAATTTGCAGTGACAATATCTAATCGATTATCATTATTGAAA